GAAAGAAGCAAAGTTCCTGAATCTCAGACAGAAACTTTATCAGTTTTTAGAGGAAATAAATTCTAAGAAATCTGATGATATTTCTTTAATTTTTTTTAAAAGGACTTCTTTTGGGGCAGCTAGGTGGTGCAGTGGATAGAGCACCAGCCCTGAAGTCAAGAGGACCTGAGTTCAAATCTGGCCTCAGATCAAACATTTGTTAACTTACTAGCTTACTAGCTGTGTGACCCTTGGCAAGTCACTTAACCCCAATTGCCTAAAAATTAAAAATAAAGAAAAAAAAGAGGCTTTTTTTTCTTAATACCACTGAAGGCAGCAAGAGGGATATGAAAAAATTGCAATCTGTCATCACTCTATGACTGTTAAAAGTTAGGGGTCTAGTCACTGCAATGTCCACAAGTGACAGTAATGGCCACCTACTCCAGAGACAGTGCAAACCCATGGATAGAGTGTGCTGGAGTCAGGAAGATCCAGGTTTGAATCTTGTCTTTGATACTTAGAAGGTGGGCTAATAATTCAGCTTCTCTGAGCCTCATTTTCCCCACCTGTAAAATGAGGATAATAATAATTGGAATCTTACTTCAAATGAAATAATGTATATAAAGCACTTTCCAAATTTTAAAACACTACACAAATAGAAAATATGATTATTGGTCAAAGTGTCAATAATCTTGAGCGTCAAGTTAACTGTCAAGAAGTGTCTTGACCATGACTCAATCCCAGAAAAAAAATTTTTTTTTGCCAGCATCAGTGATACAGCACTGAGGCTGGTGTCAAGAAGACTTGAGTTCAAATCCAGCTTAAGACACTTACTAGCTGAATGATCCTTACAAGGCAAGTCACTTAACCTTTGTAAAATGGGGGCAATAATACCTATGTACCTCACTGTTGTGAGGATCAAATGAGATAATTGCAAAGTGCTTAGTACAGTGCCTGGCACATAGTAAGCTCTATTTAAATTATTATTATTATTATTATTATTAGTAGTAGTAGTAGTATTAGTATTAGTATTATTACCTCTCTTTACATGAGACATTCACTGGAATCTGACTTAGCCTCTTTGGCTGGCTGCCAGAAATGGCTTACTTTATTTTTGTTTTTAAAGAAGTTTTAGTGATTTTTTTTGTTTTTACATTCCAGCCATTTCCAGATGTATCTCCCTCCATAAGTACTCATTCAATCAATGAGCTTTCTTCAATAACAAAGAAAAACAGTTAAATAAAACCAGCTAACAGCAATCATTTCTGAGAGCTTATGCAACATTCTGCATCCATAGTCCTTCAACTCTTCAAAAGAAGAAAGGAAGCCCCTTTTCCATAAATTTTATTCTTTAAAACCTTACAGGATCATTGAAGTAGCAAGTCATTTACATCTAAGACAAGAGAGCAGAATTCCTCTATCTCAAATCCCAACTTCTCTAGATTTACAGAATTGGACTGGGAGGGAACCAAAGAGAATTCTTTAATGTTTACTTTAGTTTAAAGACTACATAATGGTTTTGAAAATGAAGAAGAGAATAACCACTTAGAGATACTTATTTCAAGTTGGATGAGCTTAAAAGGCTTATTTAAATGTAATTTTCCACTTCAACTCTCCAGAAGCAGAAGTTGAATTATTTGCTTCTGGAATCTATAGGAGAAATCCTACATGAATCAAAGCTGGTTTATGTGGTCAGACAACTGGTCAAGAAAGGTTTGTGCTTAATAACACTTAATACATGCCAGGTGCTAAACACTAAGCATACCATCAAAAGCAGAAACAATCCTTGCCCTCATGGAGCTCACATTCTAATTGGAGGGATTACATATAAATAGGCATATCCAAGACATAGTATAGATTGGATGTAATTTCAGAGAGGAAAGTGCTAGTGGTTGGGGGATGGGGAGGGACTGTAAAAGGTGTCCTGCATAAGGTAGGATTTGAGCTGAGTCTTGAAGAAGGTTTAAGAAGCAAAAATGAAGGAGCAGGGCAAAGGCATGGAGAGAGGAAATTGCTGTCATGAGTAAAGAACAGCAAGTAGGTCAGTTTGGCTGGACTATAGAATGTGTGGAGGAAAGTAAAGTGTAAGAAGACTGGAAAGGCAGGCAGGGTCCAGGTTATTAAGAAGTTGAAATATTGGGGCAGCTAGTTATGCAATAGATAGAACACTGGCCCTGGATTCAGGAGGACCTGAGTTCAAATCTGGCCTCAGATACTTACTAGCTATGTGACCCTGTTCAAGTCACTTAACCCCAATTACCTTACCCTCTCCCCCCCAAAAAAGATCTTGAAATGTCAAAGAGATGAGTTTATGTTTAATGCTGCAGGTTAACAGACATAGAAATTTCTTCTCTTTCTGTGGCATCGAGGGTGGGGTTACCAAGATTTTATTGAAAAACAGAAGTGAACCCTACAGAATTATAGAAACTGAAGATTTTTGGGCCCCACAGACCATCTTATCCAGCCCCGCATAGTGTAAAGATGAAGAAAATGAGACCAAAAAAAGTAAGATGATCTGCCCAACATTATCCAGCTAGTAAATGGCAGAACTGAAGCTAATTGTGAGATCCTCTAATTCTAGTTCTGTATTCCTTCCACTGTATCATGCTGCTCCTAACTTTATAGACTAGAGCTCTGTCCCAGGCCTCTATGTAAGCCAACCTCAAATCTTCCCTTTAAGAATGAATGGATGAGATAAAGAATCAGAAACAACTGATAACCTGATGTTTGATATACCTGAGAATATAAATTACTTGGGGAAGAATTCCCTAAATGACAAGAACTGCAAGGACAACTTTCAAAGTAGTTTAGCAGAAAATAGATTTAGATCAATATCATATACCACTTAAGCTCAAAATGGATATGTAATATGAATATTAAAGGTCATACTATTAAAAATTAGAAGAGATCAGGTACTTTAACATCTATGGGGGAAGGGATGGAAGAGGGAGAGAAGTTCTTAAACAAAGGGCAGAGAAGATAACAAAGAGAAAATTTAGATTACATGAAATTGAAAAAGTTTTGCATTAACAAAATCAAGGTAACTGAGATAATATGGAAAGCTGGCAATTGAGGGGGATGGGAATCTTTGTGTCAGTTATCTCTGATAAGAGTCTGATAAATAAGATATATAGGGAAATAAGTTAATATACAAGCTTTTAAGACTATTTGTCATTCCACAATGGATAAGTGGTCAAAGGAGATGAACAAATAGTTCTCAAAGAACTATAAATGGTTAATAACCATATGAAACATTGCCCTACACCATTAAAAGAAACCCAAATCAAAACAAACCTTAAGTTTCACTCCACGCCCAGCAAACTGGCAAAGTTGACAAAAGATGGAAACAGTTAATGTTAAAAGGGCCAGAGAAATATGGACACAGTGATATTGGTAGAGCTGTGCATTGGTACAGCCATTTTGAAAGACAATTTGGAATTGTCCTAAAAAAATGACTAAAATGTCCGTATTCTTCAACTAAGAGATTCCACTGCTAGGCATATATACCAAGGAGGTCAAAGATAGAAAGAAGATTCCTTATACACCAAAATATTCATAGTACTTTTTGTAATAACAAAGAATTGTAAACAGAGTAACTGCCCATTGATTGAGGAATGGCTAAATAAAATGAGGCAATCAATGTAATGAAATATTAGCGCATCATAAAAAATAATGAAGAGAAGCATGGAAAGACATATATGAACTATCACAAAGTGAAGTAGGTAGAACCAGGAAAACAGTATTTGCAATGACTACATCTATATAAATAGAAAACAAAAACAAAATGAAAAAAAGAAACCAAACATATAATTAATTATAAGTTTATTCCCTCAAAAAGAAATTAGAAAATATTCCTCCTCCTCCCTTTCCAGCAGATGTGGAGAGGATTATGACTGTGGAATATTTCAAATGATATCAGACTCAGCTGATATTTTAGTTAGTTTTGCTGAACTGCTATTTTTTCCCTTTTTAAAAAAAATGCTTCATCATAAGGGATAGCTCTCTGCAAGGGAAAGGGGATGGAATATATTCATAAATGAAAGTAATATAAAAACAAAGGATATTGATAAAAATTTTTAAAGAATGAATTAATAATAAAACAATAGACTTGTCAATTTATACAGGTATTGTCTTATTTTTAAACTTAATGGATATTCCCCATTTTCAAACAAGACAAATACAATGAAGTCAGAAAATTAGTTAGGAAGGGGATTTTCAAATATCCTGTAGGGTCCAATTTTGCATTCATATCACAATCCTTAAAATACTTTTGAATATTCAAAACTGTTTTTAAGGTGCTTTTTAGCATTAAATTTATTTTACTTGGTGGTAGAAATAATGAGTAAACACCAACTTACATAAGCCTATAATCAATGAAATCACAGATTTTGTTCTTATCCTAAATAGATCATTCTTTACTTAGAAATGTGGCAATTTGCTATACTTGGTAAATGAGAGAGCTTGGAAAAAAAGAAACAACACAGCTTCTGACTGAGGCAAAAGGGAATGGTAATGAGTTTCCTGTTACAAGTAGCACATACTTTCTTTTTCCAAACTTATGTACTACATAATATAAACACTGCACTGTTCAGAAGTAGTAGCTTATTGACTTGACTTTCACTCCCCACTGGGAATAATAGGTGTACTACACCTCAATGTCTTACTAAGATAGTGTATCAAAACATTAAAGTCATTCTTAGGTAGCTAGGCAATAATATCTAAAACTGGATCATGGCAAATACAGAACATAATTTAAACCATGTTATAGAATTTTACATTCAATAAACATTTAAATGTATCTTCTTATGGGTGCCTCAGTCCTAAGGTTTTGTAAAAAGGTCTTAGAGGCGCTTATCTGTACGAGTTTACAAAGAGATTTGCAAGCAAGTATTTCTTAGACAAGTAAGTAGTTATATCATATTGCTTCAGGGTTCATGGTCAATGTTTTATTTTAGTGCAACAAATCAAATAAAGTATTTAATTCGTGTGAAGACTGAGCAAAGAAGTAAAAACCAACATACCTTCAGCATGTAGTAGAAAGGGAACCATGACAGGAAGAGGTCAGAGAAGAATTCAACTATACTGAAGACACCATATACGACCCAGTAGGTCAACCATTGTGTATCATCATCTTTGTTGGGACTCTCAATAGCTTTGATTCTGAAAGGAAATACACAATATGTGACTTGATGAGTCTCTATATTATGTTCTCAACACTCTTTTTCCATAGCTTGAGCTCCAAACTGGTCAGAAATTTTACAAATGTGTGTGACACATAATTATCATGAAGCAAGTAAACATAAATAGATCGGTGCAACCTGTCATAACTACTGGAAAAGCCATTCAGTGAAAAAGGTTTATAGTGGATCAGCCATGGATCCTAGGACAAATTATCATTGAGGTTAACAAGCAGTTTTTATGAAGGGTTTTGTTTTTGCATTCCCCATATTTCTTGGCATAACCCTATATTATTCTTGTGACTAAATGCAGTTATGAAATAGAGAACTAAAAGTTCTTTACTTCATCAAAACATTCACCCAAACTCACAAGGGTTGTTTTCTCACATCTTAGCCTTTTTGTCATGATGGTGTCAATAATGCCATATTTAAGGTGGCCTTATTTCCAAGCAGGACACCTTGGTCTGACAAGGCTATTTCTTTTGCAAAGTCTCAGAGTACAATTATTTTTGTTATTTTAATTAAGATGGTGCTGGGAAATCTGGGCTGTAGACTATGTCCCCTAACCTGGAAATTTACCTCAAAGAAAGAGCAGATGAAACATTAACTTTATTTAAAACTTCTTGGTGCTTTCCTTTGAGAAAAAAGGAAGAAAAGACTTAAAGGTATTCCTCACTTTATGGATCATAGGATCAAAATTCAAGATCTGGAAGGAACCCTAAAAATTATCCAGTCTATCCCCCTCATTTTAAAAAATGTTAAACCTGAGGCCCTTTAAGTTGCTTGTCCAAGGTTACACAGGGTAGTAAATGTCCAAGGTGGGAGTCAAATCCTGATTCCAGAATCATTGCTCTTTCTACAATATTAATTGCCTCCTACTTGCCATCATCTAGTGTTAGCTGCAGAGTAAATGTTTATAAAGTGAGTCCTATTCCTACCGATTTCCACTAAAAATACAAGATGTCATCCCACAGGAATAACAAGAAATAAAAAAACAAACAACTTTCAGATGACTAAGCTGAAAGTTATTGTCAAGAAATGACCTGGACTTTAATATAGAAGTAGTTCTATTTACTTTTCTTTGAACAGATTTCTGACATTTCAGTATTTTCCTTAGTCTAATTTCCTACTTGTCATTGGCCATTATCCACATCAGTATATTCCCTAAAAACAGCAGTAAAGTAAGGCAGTAAACACAGAAAGACCAAGGTTTCACATTCAATTCTTGCCTAAGATAGTTAGCTTTTTGTCATTTTCCATAATCAGACAATCCTTAACTGTTAAGGCTGCTTATCACATAACTAAGTGCTGCTGGTCATATGAGGAGGCTAGGAGAAAAATCAGTGGTTAGATCAGTGCAAATTCATCTCTACAGGAAAAAAATAAAGTCAAAGCACATGCTTTGCTAATGGTGAGTTTGTAGTACTAACTTTGTACGCAAAGAGCAATGTTATTTTAGCAGTAGTCTTGAAGGATTTCCTGGCAATGTGGGTATGCTTACTTCATGATGTCTATTTAATCCTGATTCTGTCTTTCTTGTTTGGACAGCCACCATGTTAATCTCCTTCACCCAAACAAATATTGTAGCTCAGCCAGGCTTTCCCAGTAGTATTTATCACTGAGTCAGGTATGTCACATCATATGTGTAGATAACAAGATTCATGCTACACATACATGGAAATAATCAGGAGGAGCAATGGCATATTGTCTTCCCCTGCCTTTGGACCACAGGAATTTCTCCATGATTGCGGATTCCACACTTCCAGCTACACAACATTAGACTACTACCTGGAGTTTTTAAGGAAGACCAGTTCCTCTAATGTGATGGCTACCAAGCCCTTTTCAGGGCTGCTTTCCACCTTTGGTGTCCATCTGATTCTGCCAAGTTTCACTTGTGGCTCTAAGAAGCTGTAGCATGTGCAGCAGCTACACCTGGTAAACTGTTTTGAGAGATGGGCTACCCCAGGTTGAGTGTAACTGATGGGCCTCAAACCCATCAGTGAATTAGTGGGGTATCTACCCCATGCAGGTGAAGACTTCCCTGACAGAACAGGTAAATGCGAATAATTTGTTCCGATGGTCTGTAAAGGCAGCAGAAGCAAGTGCCAGGGAGAGCTTAGAGCTTGGTTAGTCATGAAAAACGCCAAGGCCATCCACTGCATCCCGAGCCATCACCAGTTGTCTTAATTTTTGTCTTGCCACTAGACTCAGATGACTCTGAAAGAGAGTGAGGCCAACAACTTCACACAACTCTACCTCACAAATTTTATGTGAGTCAAAAGACATCATCATACCATTTTACCATTTTTACCTACCCCATAGTCCTGTGGAGACCAGCAAGCAATGAAGCAGCAGGTGAGGATACACTGGGAGTTGTAGTCACAGCCCTATACACAGATGACCCAGGGCATAGGGTCATATTCTCACTGGACTGAAGCAGCAGTGGAATTTGACAGCCCTGAGGGTGTCTGAACAGCCTTTTTATTTATTTTTTAAAATTTATTATTTTTTTTTTAGGCAATTGGGGTTAAGTGACTTGCCCAGGGTCACCCAGCTAGTAAGTAACAAGTGTTTGGTCTGAGGCTGGATTTGAACTCAGGTCTTCCTGACTTCAGGGCTGGTACTCTATCCACTGCGCCACCTAGCTGCCCCTTGAGAAGCCTTTTTAAAAGATTGCATTGCTCACCTCCTGGCATGAGGAAGGGCCTAAAAAAGGTGCCCTAAAAATTGTCTGCTTCTCTTAACCTAACCCTGGCCTGCTTACCATGGCAGGCAGGGATCCTACCCTGTGGTCAAAACACAAAAAAATATACAAAAATTTTTGCAAAGATGATTCCATTCAACATTGGCACATGGAATGTACACACATTTATGGACAACATGAAATCCAGTAGACCTGAAAAACCAACAGCTCTTGTTGCAAGAGAATTCACCAGGTGTCACACCCAAATAGCAGCCACAAGTAAAACGAGGCTGGCATATGAAGGCCGGCTTACTGAAGTTGGAGCTGGATACACTTTTTCTGGAGTGGCCACAGTGATGGGGAGTGCCATGAAGCTGGCATAGGCTATGCAACTAAGACTTGTATGCCTCCCAAAAGGAGTGAATGACAGGCTCATGTCAATGTGATTGCCACTTGCAAGAAAGTACCACACCACCATCATCAATGCATATGCTCCCACTATGACAAACGCTAATAAGATCAAATAAAAATTTTATGAAGACCTTGAGACCCTCATCATTAATGTGCTGAAAAAGGACAAGCTGGTAATTCTGGGTGACTTTAATGCCAGAGTAGGCATAGACTATCAGATGTGGCAGGGAGCTTAGGAGGAATAGAGTCTGAAACAGCAACAGCAATGGTCACTTACTACTGAAAACTTGTGAGTCTCACCATCTTCTTATCACCAACATTAACTTAAATGCATTAAAACTTCCTGGATGCACACTCACAGCAAACAGTGGCATTTAACAGACTATGTCATTATAAGGAGAAGAGACAGACAGGATGTTAGAATGATGAAGGTGATGTGTGGCACAGAGGGCTAGACCAATCATAGGCTTATCCTCTCCAAGCTAAATATACACATTTAGTAAAAGTGGCAGTCCCAAGGCAAGACAACTACCAGAAAATTTAATGTCAACAGATGAGAGCACTTCTCCATATGCAGTTTGTTGCTATCTTGGAAGGCAGTATTTAACTCCATCAAAATAAGGTGCAAATGAAGCTTAGAGAGCTGCAGGATTCTTGGCTCAGTAAGAAGGCAGATGAAATTCAGTTTTATAATTATAGTAACAAACCAAAGAGCTTTAATATTCTGAAGACTATTTATGGGCTAAAGACCTATGGTACATCTCAACTACTGATGGAGCCTCATTGACTAGTGAAAAGGACATGATCCTAGAGAGATGGGCTGACCACTTCCATAGTGTTCTCAATAGACCATCATCAACCAATGCTGAAACCACTGACCAAATTCCTCAGGTTGAAGTCAATCCTTCTCTAGTCAAACTTACCACTGAAAAATAGGTTTTGAATGCCGTTGGGCTCCTCTCATGTGACAAAGCACCTGGACTAATTCTATTCCAGCTGAGATTTACAAGGCAGGGGGTCCACTATTCATGCAAAAGCTGACTGAAATCTTCTAGGTTACATGGCAAGAGGAAATTATCCCCCAGGAGTTTAAGAATGTTTCTACTATCCATTTCTATAAAAGTAAAGAAAATAGATCATCCTGTGACAACTGGGGGGGAGGGTCCTCTTTCTTAGTCATTCTTGGCAAGATTCTTGCCAGAGTCCTTTTTTTTTTTTTTTTTGGTGAGGCAATCAGGGTTAAGTGACTTGCCCAGGGTCACACAGCTAGTAAGTGTTATGTGTCTGAGGTGGATTTGAACTCAGGTCCTCCTGAATCCAAGGCTGGAGCTCTATCTACTGCGCCACCTAGCTGCCCCTAGAGTCCTTCTTAACAGGCTGATCCTTCACCTGGAAGGTGACCTTCTACCTGACAGCTAGTGTGGCTTCAGAAAGGGCCAAGGAACAGTCAAAATGGCTTTTGCTGCCCAACAACTCCAAGAGAAAAGCCAGGAGCAGAACAGAGGTCTATATACAAGGTTTGTCAATCTGACCAAGGCTTTTGATACTGTCATTTGTAAGGGCTTATGGAAGATCATGGCAAAATTTGGCTGCCTGACAACGTTCATCAGTTTGCCAGTTCTACAAGAGCATGCTTGCACAGGTTCTGGATGTTGGATGATGCTGTCATGCTTTCCTATTCATCAGTGGAGTGAAGCACGGCTATGTGCTTGCTCCCATGCTTTTTAGCATGATGTTTTCAGTGATGTTATTAGATGCCTTCAGCAAGGACAAAGACAGAATCAAGGTCAACTATTGCACTGATGGCAAATTATTTAACTTGAAAAGGCCACAAGCCAAAGATAAAGGGAGGGAGAGTTGGTGCACCACTTTTTGTTCACAGACTGTGC